TTTATTTTTACATATAGAAGAATAAATAATATATATAAATCCAAAGATAATGACTATAGGACTATTGCATATATTTCACAATATATAATGTGATATACTTGTGCATATGTATGTAAAAATAAATAATATAAATAAATGGTTATGGGGCTGTGATATATGAGCATGAAGAAATGTATGAATTTGTTACCACTTTAATGTGGCTCATGTGTTTAGGGGTGTTATTTCTACTTGAAAATTTGCTAGGTGCAAGTTACTTAATGAAGGTTGTTGAATACCATTGAGTCTTGAATATTCATCTTTCATCAAACAGTTTTTAACTTAGCTACTTTGTGGCTAAGTATTATCCTGAGCACTGAGGAACAAAATCAGTGAATTTTAGAAGTCTTTATTAGTAAATTCTAACAGAGAAACATTTTGTAAGAAACCATACGTATTTCAGCTTCATACATTTTGTAAGAAGCTGGAATATCACCCATCTTAACTGAAAATATAATTTAACTATAGCTAAAGAAAATATGGAGGATTATCACAGCATGTGGCTCTTTGTGTATATTCAGCTGATGGTTATACACCTTTGCACTCAGTAGGTATACATCATGATTAATTGAAGAGGTTTTTTTTTGTAATGTAAATTATTCTAAATAAATTATTCTCCCATTTTCCCTTACTAAACTTCCATGTGAACGTGGCAGCCTTGACAGCTGTCTCTAGAGCTGGTGCATCTTACAGGCATTCTTGTTAGGAGGTAACACCACTGGTGTCTGTCAGTGTGGCTGGATGAGAGAAAGGCTGATTTTCCTCTCTTTCTAGAGGTCTTGGTCCTTTTGCTGTTCTGATCCACATTTGATTAGGAGATTGCAAGATCACCTTTCACATATGGTGGAGGAGTGGGGATTATGGGGAATTATCCTTTGTGAACCTTCTATAGAATCTTATCCTTTGTGATCCTTCTGTAGAATTTTGGCAACTCTTAATTTGAATTGTGATCTAACATTTGAATTAATCAGTTGATAGGTATCAGGAGGCCCATGAACCATATTATGAAATGGTATAAAAAAAAATCTTTGCATACATTTCCCAGTGTGTGGGTGCACAGCTTTCCTTCGATATCCAGTATGAGTTCTAATTGAAAGGTTAATTTGTGTGTGTGTGTGTTTCAGGAGGAGGGAGGGAAAGGAATGTGTTACGACTAATATGATAATAGATGGTGTCTTAATCCATTTGTAAAGTGATAACTATGAAACAATAGCCACTGGGTGACTGACAGTTTCAGACCATTGATTGTAGAGATAGCCATGCAATAATTGGTTTACAACTTTAATACATTTCTCCCAAAGCCGAAGAGTCTGATTTAGAGAATATCATTCAATTTACAAAAGGGTACAGAAAAAATACTTTTAAAAATAGGTATTTGGCAAGAATTTTACCAAATGTTTAGTAAAAATCGTTGTTTGTTATTAAGATTTTCGGGAAAACAGAGGCTTTAAATTGCAAGGAAAATATGTATTAGAAACTACAAAATAAATATTTTTAATATTTTATAAAAGCCAAAGTCGTTCATTCATTTTCCATTTCGGGTAACCTGGCAAATTAAGATTAAAACCTGTTGTGAATGTGACCAAAAATATATCCTTATTCAATTTCATTTAAGAACTTTTAAATAGTTTTACTGCCATTGCCTCTTGTGTATTTATTGACCTTTTATTTAATAACTTTGGGTTGATTTTAGGCCACCAACAAAATGGAAATGAAAGAGACTGCTGAACACAAGACAGTATGGAAGATGAACTCAACCAGTGAACCTTTATTTACTACTAGTGTAGAAGTCAGTCCTTTGAAAAAATTCACCATTCCCAAGATCAGAAGGACAGCTGGGAAAGGTAGTGTTTCTATGGAAGATGAGATTATTTCATAACTGTTACTGCATTTCTCTGATTCTTATTTTACATTCATCTTCTGTTTTGGTTCTAAATAAAAAAGTCAGCCTTTAATTCCTTAAATACACACATACTTTTGGTTCCACCCAAAATAAAACAGACGTGTCTCATATCACTCCCCCTAAGTACACCTAAAAACATTGGACATCATCCATATAAAACAAACATAAGAAGACTTTGAAAAGGTGGAGAGAAGAAGCTAGACCAGTGAGGGGCCCTGGGAGTCAAGGAATGCCAGCATTAAGGTCTCTGGATTTTTTTTTGTTTCTCCCATGTCTCAGATTGGGTGCCCACAACACAGGAATGCCAACTTGTGCAGACACAAAAAACCTTAAGAGTCTGTTCTGCCTTGTCAAGGACTGGGAAAGGGGTGTCCTAGAAAGACAGAAAGCTATTTGACAATGAACACCCTACTCCTGCAAAACACCAGGGGGGAAAATGGGATAACCCCTACACCTTTGTCAGCAGAGGGTGAGTGAAGGGCCTAGACTTCCACCTGTGCCTCTCTCCTTCATGGAACTTCATAATAAGTTCCTCTCCCTGCTATCCCTGGCCACTGTAGTGTCAGTGGATTTCCACTCCTGCCCTGTGGTGATGAGTCGCCCCTTCTTAGAGTAGAGTAAGTGAAGACCAGGTGGGGAGCACAGACTTGTGCCACACACACCAGTAACAAAGGTATCTGTCACCCTCCCGCAGTGTCAGTGGAGGCTGAGTAAGGAGCATAGACTTCTAACCCTTTCCCATTGTAACAAGACAGCCTCCCCACCCAGGGTGTCAGTGAAGACCCTGTAGATAGCCACGATTTCAACCCTGCTTAGTGTTTAAGAGTCAATGTTCCTCCACCCCTTTTCTTGCTGGCAGTTTCCCTTGCTGGCTTAGTCTTAGTAGAGGCTTATTAAAACACAAGGTCAAATATGATGAGTAACCCAAATGACCAAGGTATAAAAAAAATCATTCATAAGTTACCACCAACTAGGAAAATCTCAACTCAAGTGAGAAAAGGTAAATCAATGGATGCCAACACCATGATGAAATAGATGTTGGAATTATCTGACCAGGCTTTTAAGATAGCCATTGTAATGGTGCTTCAATAAGCAATTATAAACACTCCTGAAACATAGAAAAATAGAAATTCTCAACAAAGAAATGGAAAATGTAATAAAGAGCTAAGTAAATAGAAGTTTTGGAACTGAAAAATACAATAATTGAAATTAAAACTAATTGGATAGTTTCCAGAGAAGAATTGAGAAGACTTCGGGAAAAAGTGGTGAATTTGAAGATATAACAATAGGAATTACCCAGCCTAAACAACAGAGAAAACATAACATTAACAGAGCCTCAGGGACCTGTGGAACAATAACCAAAGATCTAACATCCTTGTCCTCAGACTCTCAGGAGTAGAAAAGAGCATAGAGCTGAAAGAGTATTTGAAGGAATACTGGCTGAAAATTCCCCAAATTTGGCAAAAGGCATAAATATGTACAGTCAAAAGGTTGAATAAACCCTAAATAAGATAAACCCAAAGAAGCATATGGCAAGGCACATCATAGTCAAACTTCTGAAAACTAAGAACAGAAAAAAATCTTGAAAGAAACTAAATGTTCTCTCTATGGGAAAAATTTAATGATGGAAAATTTCTTGTTAGAAACCATGGAGCCCAGAGGAAGTGGCACTTTTTTTTTTAAGTGCAGAAAGAAAAGAACTGTCCCCAGAAAAATTATGCTTTAGGAATAGATGTGAAATAGACATTCTCAGATGAAGACTAAGAATTTTTCATCAGTAGATCTTAATTTAGAATGGCTAAACAAAGCTCGGAATATTAGGAATGAAGGAATAACAAAGGAAAGAGTAAAAACAGGGAAATATAATAGACAGATTTCCTCTTGAGTTCTGTAATTATGTTTGACAGTTGCAACAAAAATTATTCTTCAATGTGATTCTCACTGTATATAGAGGAAGGATTTAAGGCAATTATAAGGTGAGATGTTACCACTATGGGAACTGGGTGAATGGGATATAGGATCTCTCTATTATATATAACAACTGCATGTGACTCTACATTTATCTCAAAATTAGAAGTTTTTTTTATAAAAAAACACTATAGATAAACCAAAATGGAATTTTTTAAATGCTCAGGTAACCCACAGGAAGGCAGGAAAAGTGAAATAGAGAATTGAACAACTGAGGGAAAAATAAACAGCTGAATGGCAAGCTGAAGCCCTAATATATCAATTATATTAAGCATAAGTCACCTCAACATACCAGCTAAAAGACAGAGGTTTACACAATGGATTAAAAAAAAAACATGACCTATCTCTTATACTGTCAATAAATTCACTTTAAATATAGTGATATAGGTTGGTTGAAGGTAAGCATATAGAGAAATGTAGGCCATGCACAAAATAAAGCAGAGTGGCTGTATTAAGAGCAAATACAGTAGACTTCAGAGGAAAGGAAATTACCAGAAACAAAGGAGGTGTATTACATAAATCTACCAGTAAGACATAGCAGTCCTAAACATGTGTCCCCAAACAACAGAGCTTCAGAATACATGAAGCAAAGTTGATAGCACTGAAAGGAAAAACGGACAAATCTGGAATGGTAGTTGGTGACTTCAGCACACCTCTGTCAACAATTGATAGAACTACCTAGACACAAAATCAGCAAAGCTGTAGAAGAACTTACTGCTCTCAACCAAAAGGATCTTATTTAAAAGAATTGAAGTCATATAAAATGTGTACTCCGACCATATGCAAACTAGACATTAATAATAGAAAGTAATAGTTAAATCTCGGAACACATGGAAGGTAAACAGTGCATTTGTAAATATTCATGAGATTTCAAAGGAAATTTAAAAGTACATTGAAATGAATGAAAAGGAAAATGTAGCATCAAAATTTGAGGGAAACAGCTAAATCATTGCTGACGAATTTATCGCACTAAATACTTACATTAGAAAATAGGGTTTCAAATCAGTAATCTAAGCCTCTAGGTTAAGAAACTAGAAAAAGAACAGTAAGTTAAGCCTAAAACAAGCAGAAGAAAGCAAAAATCAATGAAACTAAAAAATCTGCTTGAAAAAGATTTTTAAAAATTGATAAGCCTTTAGTAAGACTTTTTAATAAGACTGAGTTAAAAAAAAAAAGCCACAACTTACAGCTGTCAAGAATGAAATGGGATATCACTACTGACACACAATACTGCATTGGAAGCATAACACATGTATATACATGGCCTTTACAACTTGGGTGAAATGGACCAATTTGTTAAAAAGCACACATTACGAAAACTCACACAAGACTAGATAAATCATTTAAATAGCCTTTATAACTACAGGCATACCTTTTTATTGTACTTCACAGATAATGCGGTTTTTTTTAATAACAAACTGAAGGTTTTGTGGCAACCCTGTGTTAAGCAAGTTTATTGGTGCCGGTTTTCCAACAGCATGTGCTCCCTTTGTGTCTCTGTGTCACATTTTGGTAATTCTCACAATATTTCAAGCTTTTTCTTTATTATATAGAAATAGAAGAAATATTTATTCAATAACAGTAGCTACCAGGTTTGCGTAACATTGCGTGTTATAGAGTCAGTGTACATCTTAAGTTGAAAATGAGTCACCTGAGTTCTCGTACTGTGTAGTCTATCTGTCAACTTCTAAGAGCTCTCAATAGGTATATGGAGAAAAACAAGGTTCATATTGTCATTTATACTGAATATAAGAAGCCTTTATTACTGTTACAGAACCTTAAATACAACTATCTCCAGATGTTAATGAAAATTCAAATACTTGGTTATTTTCTGTCTTATGCAGATATACAGTTGTCATTGTACAAATGTACAGTGATGTCATTTTAAACACAAATAACCACTTGCCCTTTTCTTCATTTTTAGTTTACTTGTCACCTTGTTGCACCAATACCAGAGAGTATAGTTTCATACATGATACTCTAAACCAGTGCCGGCTTGATGTGAGCTGTGATCTTCAGTCTTCATGGCAATTTGGAGATACAAAGTTGGTTCACAATGAGGAGCTGGAAAGAAATTTTACTTCTAAGAGGTAAGTGTCTGTGACCTAAACAAGTTTGAGATTTTTGTTTGTGTATTTTTGCTATGCGGTCTTCTTCAGATTTGTCATTTCTACCATTTGAGATTTGGTAAGTATTACTAAGAAAATAAGTACAGAGATGTTTTATTCATTAATTTGTTGCCATCTCATAGCCTTTTGTAATAGGAAAAAGCTAAGTATGAGATTTGATTTGTAAGTTTTACGCACTAATGTAGCCAGATTTTGGACACTCCCTTGTAATTTTTTTATCTCGGTAAACTTTTCAGAAGCATACATCAGCACATCTATTAAACAGGTCATCATAACAAGTATAATAATGGTGAAAAAGTTTGAAATATTGTGAGAATTACCCAGATTTGACACAGGGACACAACGTAAACAAATGCTGTTTAGAAAATGGTGCCGATAGACTTGCTTGACACAGGTTGCCACAGACCTTCAATTCATAGAAAATGTAGTATCTGTGAAGCTCAGTACAGTGAAGCACAATAAAATGAAGTCTGCCTTATACATCTTTAATTTGTCACAACACACCTCCACATAATGTGATTCACATGTGGTATGAGAACCTTACAACAAATATTTGATTTCCTCCCTCCCTCCTTACCTTTGTGCTATTGTTAATAGGTGTTATTCCAGGCATTTCTCAGAAAGTTAACATTGTCCCAGATCCTATGAAAAACCAATTAAGAAATTAGGAAAACTGAAAAAAAAAGTATCATAATTCTTCTCTGAGAATTAAACCATAACCATCGACATAGAGATCTTAGTGGTTCACAGAGTCCAACAGCAAGCTAAAGCAAGAGCAGAAAATGATGACCGTGGAGTTGAAAGTTAAGGCTGACATTTCTGGGAACCGAGAAAGAAGTGGGACCTTCTCATTAGTTAGGCTTGCTTTTCATTGTTGCCATGGTCCTGTCTACTGTTAAAGGTGAATTATTCTTGCAAACAAATATTATTACACTAAAGTGCATAGAATACTTTATATAGATTCTGTGGTGCTCCAGGAAATAGCAAATATTGGTAGCTGTGGTTTTTAAGAACAGTTTCCTTCTGTGGTATACACCTTACTGTCGATATTCTGTACTTCTCCATTTGGTGGAATCACACTGCTCTCTTCTGATGGACCCTCTCTGTCGTACCCCCTGGTGTGGCAGTTGCGGCTGCTACTATTCCTGAGCAAGCTGTGCAGAACTCCCTACCTAATCCACCAAGTTGGGGGTGGAGGGCATAGGTTTTATATATTTCAGTGGTTCTTGTTGTGGAATGTAGGCAAGATTTCAGGAGTATCTGTACTTTAGATTATAATCTTCTCTGAGGATGATTCATAATTTTCTTACTGCTAAGATAGGAATCTGTAATCAAATCATAGCCTATTTCTCCCAACTGTTATCTAGTTCCCTGGAGAATGGAGAATGACCCTAATAATTGACCATATAGAAGTATATATGTGAATGTCTCTCTCTAGATAGATGTATATAAGAAATGCATGTCCTTCCCTCTATAACACAAATAAGAACTTGAACCTGGAACTTAATGGACACAAATTGGCATATCTGTTTCCAACTCTGTCACTTTACTACTTGGCAAGTTTTAACCCTCTGAACCTCATATTCGTAATTTTTTAAATATGCGTAATAACTACAGTAATAATAAGTAACAACAACAGCAGTAACTCAGTTCTTGGGGATTTGAGAACAGAGTAACAAAATGCACATAAAGGGTAAGTCTTAACAGTGCTGGGGACATTAGCATTCAGGAAATGTTAGTCCTTATTTCCGTTGGCCTATCTGGATTGTAGACCATAATCTTAGACAAGTAGTTATTGAACTACTTGAATTCTTTTCTTAGATGATTTTCAGCCTAACGTGTTACCATAGGATAGGGACACCTCTGAATGTTACCAGTAATTACCTTGTGTTCTAACTGTAGCAGTCTTCTCCTTGAAAATTCTGTTGATATTCTCACTTAACTACACAGTGTTTGTTGTGCTTTAGGTCAGAGATGCGTGAGAGTGGAAGACATGGCAGAGAACTTGAAGAGCATTTCTGCTTTTTAGCACTTCCTCAGAGTGATGTAGCTGAGATCTATCAGAATGGGATGAGTACCAAAGCATCTGCAATGAAGATACTAGGAAATCCTCTTCTTGGAATTTATACATTTAGACATGTTGATATTGCCTTGAGTTACGCTCATAGTACAAGCATTACTGTGGAAAGTATTATAATTTTTAAGGTATGTAGCATAAAACACATTAAATATTATATTCAGGTGCTTTAAATTGACCTAAACACATTTTACTTTTAATATGAATTATTAATGTTTTAAGTTGCTTTGTCTAAAATAAATAATAACTGTATTTATTACTGTCATCATCATCATTATTTGAGATTTTCCCTTATTTTTTACGTTAGCTGGGTGTGCAGCATAAAAATCTCCAAATAAGCAAAGACAGCCTTTAACATCTTGGTTTCCCAATGTAAATTTTTCTGTCCTAATTGACCCTCTTATCTTTCTTTCTTTTGTCCAGACTGTATTTAATACAAGAGCATTTTAAGTGCCTTTCCCCCAAATTATTGGTTATAATAATTCTGCCTTAGGCTAAAGTTACTAAACTCTTACTGTTTATTTTATTTTAGTTTATAGTCTTATGTAATGTTAATTTCTTTGTTTTGATAATTTTGCCATGCTTATATAAGATGTTAACATTAGAAAAAATTGGGTAGAGGCATATGGGACCTTTGAACTGTTTTGCAACTTTTCTGATAGTCTGAAATGATCAGAATTGAAAAGAAAAGTTATAGTCAAATCGTAAGCATCAGCGGACAGATTGGTTAATATATACTTTGGGGTTAATTAAAGCTTTGCCAGAACTACTAAAATTGCAGTAGATAGGCAGGATCCTCAGTTGTGTAATTTAAGATATGTATGTCCACATAAAACAAATGGTTATAATTTTATTTTAGGACCTCAGATATCAAATTCATAATACATATTTTATTTGTATTTATATATGAAAAAATAATACATACTGATTTTAGAAAATTTGGAACATGCTTAGAAGCTCCAAAAAGCTCATTAATAGTGAGAGTTAATTTTTTTATATATCTATACTCAGACTTCTATTCATATATATGGAATATGCATGTTTAATTATCATTAAAATATATTCTTACTTTATATATTATATAACTTCCATTTTTCATTGATTGTAAAATCAACATTTTCCATGCCATTAAATAAATATTTCTTCTGTAGTATCCTTTTAAATGACTGCATAGTATTGCACTATACAACTCTACCATAAATTTGTGTAACAAATTGTTCAGTGTTGGAATATAAGTCACTGGGTCTTTTATTTTTGTACTTTTAAATACTACTTTGATTATCAATGTAGATACATTTTGCATACACCTGTGATTATGTGCTAAGAATTAATTGGTTAATTCCTAAGTGTCAGATTAGGAGTCAGAGGTATGTTTACACTTCTACAGCTTTTGATATGTAATGCCTAGTTGTCCTAAAAAAGGTTATGCTAATTGACATGCCTGTCCAGAGCATATGGAAAAGACTATTATTTCACTAACTCTTCTTCTTCACTAACTTTGCATATTATACTTTAAAAAAAACTTCGCCTGTCTCTAATATGTGATAGTTTCTCATTGCTGGTTCAGTATTTTTTTCTTTTCCTTAGTTATTGCTGAGTGTAACATTCTGCATATATTCATTGACAGTATTTAGTGAGTTACTGAGTTACCCGGTAATATACTTTGCTAGATTCTTGTTTTTTTCCTTTTTTCAGTTGATTCATAAGCATTATCAATTCAGTCAAGAGCTAGGCTTTTCTCTGTGTAATGTTTTCTCGCTTAATGTTTTCTTTTTTTTAAATAAACTTTATTTTGGAATAAATTTAAATTTACAGAAAAATTATAAACATAGTACAGAAAGTTCCTGGATACAATTTACCCAGCTTCCCCTAACATTAACATTTCACATAATTATGGCACCTCTGTTAAAACTAAGAAACTAACAATGTGTTATGTGAATTGTATTTCACTTAAAAAATAATTAAATAAAATGAAAAGAAAGTAACATTGGTATAGTACTATTTACTACAGACTATACTTTTGCCAGTTTTTCCACTGATGTTTTTTCTCATGCAGTATCCAAGTTATAGATTGCCACGTTACATTTAGTATTTTTTTAATTTTGAATGAATTGTTAGCATATTAAAAAATAAAAGTTAATAGAATTGCTGACTTAAAATTTGTACGTTGTTTTCATATTAATTGCACTTTTTTCCACCTTATCTTTTAACACTTAAGTTCATGGTTTTTTAAAAATTTTACACTCATTTGTTTTTGTTGTACGAAAGTGTTGGAATATTGTACAGTGAAGACTGTTTCTGGTTCATTTTAGAAAAGAATTCTCACTTTGAGATTAGATACATATTTGTTTATACTTTTTCTATAATGTTTGCATTGCTTAAATATTTAACTTGTTTGGTATTTTGGCTTATTGATTAAACCAAATTTAAAAAAAAAACAATTTTTGTCAGTTCCACACCATTTATTGAATAGTCTGTTTTTGCTTCATTTATTTCAAATGATGCTTTTAATATTATACTGAATTTTTATAGATTCTTGGACTTATCTGGACTTTTTATTTTATACAGTATTTTCCCTTTTCTGCCTTTTTTGTGGTAGTATCATTCTTTTAAAAAGTATTTATTATCTAGAAGTGTAAATCACCTGTCCTGTTCCATCACTCTCTATCTCTGGCCTAAATTTTTTTTTAAATTCTTTTCCAAAATTTTCTAGGCTGTCTGATTGTTTAGTCTTCCAGAGAATTTTATAAACTAAAACTCATTTCTACGAGTGGATTCTGCGAAATTTTTATTTGAATTATTATAGTCTTATTAGCATTTAATTTCGGGAGGAAATGACATAATTACAATAAGTCATCCCATTCATCTGGAACATGGATTATCTCTCAGAATTTCTTTCCTTGAGAAGCTAGCCTTACTTTATAGTATGAGAGTTTTAAATGTTTTGATGTATTTTTATGGACCTTCTTTTTACTTTCTTCCCCGCTAGGTTCTCTTTGGGAAAGTGAAGAAAATCCAGCCTTCAGTGGATAAAAACAAAGTTTCTTTGGATCCTTCTCCTAACTTTGATTGCCATATGTCGAGAAGTATACCTTCTCTGAAAGATACTATTGAACTACAAGCCTACAATTCAGCAGTATGTTAACTTTTTGGTTCATTTGACTTCTGAAAAGTCACGTGCTTCACATTGTATGATACAAGACTTAAAACAACTGCCCAAAATATTGAGAGGAACTCTCTCACTTCATTCAATATAATATGACCTAAATAAATAAATAGTAAAAGCTGTTTTAATATTTGTGATCTGGGAACATTAATAAAGAGGTTCTAAGTTTACATTTAACTTTGTTCAAAGTACAGTGGCTGCTTTTATTTAGATGTTCCATGAATTAATTCCTAACTTGCAAAACAAACAAGGCTGCTTTGAAATAATGTTATTGCTATTTTGCACTTTTCAAAAGGAGGAAAGGATTATGTGTTACTCATTACATAATAGACTAATTATTAAACAGTAAATTTCTGTCATATTACTGTAACACTTAGAAGACCTTTAATTTTCCTTAGAAGATTAAATTATATAATACATGTTATATATAATCATATATATGATTAACTAAAGATAAATATTTTAGAATATATATGTGCTCCCACATGTAAAAGGTATTAAGCTATTGTTATTTTCCTAATTAACTTTTCCTCCAAATCAAAATATACTATTTTGTTTTCAGCATATGCAAAATATTGAAGTTATAATGGAAAAATAATTTTTTATTTAAAAACAGATTGTGTCTGCTTCTGCTGATATTGAAAGCCTATCAAGGAAAAAATATGTTGAAGGGAAAAAATTTCATCTTCAAGAAAACTAAGTTGAAGGGAGTGAAGAGAGGGGGATGTATGGAAACTGAAGAATGAATAACAGCATGCAGTTATATAGATTTTTTAAAATATGAGCTTATTTAAGTCTGCAAAAATTTATCAGCATAAAAATATTCTTTTTCTTCTTTATCTTTTAGGTATACTTCTATGAATACAATATTCTTTCAAAGCCAGTAGAAAAACCTAGGCAGTGCCTTCCATATGCAGTAGTAACAGTAAAATTTATTGGTCAGAAAGTAGATAATGGACACATTATGACATCTTTGAGATTCCTCGCAACAGGATTTCCTAAGAGGGCTGGTAAGATACATGTATTTTTCTACTTCGGTAGCATTTGTGCTGATCTTACAACTTCTGAATATTATTTGCTAATACATTAATGAATCACTAAGCAAAATAACGTGCTTACTTGTTTTTGAGTTTCTATATCTAGAATTACACTGCAGCCATTTTTGTGACTTCTTTTGCTCAGTTTTATGTTTGTGTGATTCTTCCATGTTGATATATGTAACTGTAGTTTCTTCATTTTCATTTATATATATGCATATATGCACACTCGAAACACACTGTTCAGTTTTGTGACTATACACTATTCCTGTGGGGAAATTTGGACATTTTATAGTTTTCCTCATATTCCAAACATTCATGTAAGTGTCTCAGCACATATATGCAAGCATTTTTCTATAGAGTATAAATCGACATCAGGAATGTGGCTTAATCTAAAGACAGTGTCAAATAGTTTTCAAAAGTGGTTGTATCAGGTTATGTAATTAGACAGTTCTATGTAATAATATGTAGATTCTGTTATTAAATAGTAAATAATACGTAGATTCTGTTATTAAATATCTAAATTAGATACAAGAAATACCTAGTCTGTGAGCAACATGTTTTTACTCATATTTAAATGTTCTATTTCTTAGTATTTGTCAGAATTCAATTTTTCTGGCAGATACTTTTTTTTAGTAAAGGGGCTGTAGGACAGAGCTTCATGCTACATTATTTATACTTTATTAGTTCATTAGTCATCCTCTTCTCTCCTTGCTTTCTCTGCTGAGAACATACTTTAATCATCATTAGGTTATTTGATGAACTTTCAGTTAAAACCACTCATGACATAGTTTACTTACATTAATAGAGTTGCCTGTAGAAACAGTTTTTCTTCTTGTTTTTCCTTATTTTCTTCTTATTTCCACAGAAAGAACATGCTCTCTGAATAACTGTACAGTGGCCAAAAGAATTGGGAAAGGAAAAGATGCTACTGTCATCTTTGAGCACTTCAGGAAACCTGTAGATCCATTTGTTCAGGAAAACTGTTCATGCAATGCACTAAATTCAGAGATAAATCCTTCCAACTCAAATATTTCTAATTCCTGTGGAAATGTGCAAAATGAAAACATTTCTGTACTTGAAACATACAGTGGACAGATGGAGCACAACTTAGGAGAACATAGAGACACTTCTCAAGTACATGCATATGATTCGGGTCTTTCATTTATTCCCGGTGATACCAGAGAAAGTGTTAATAATGGGGACCTCTTAAATTTGACACATCTTAAAGATGTTTTAAGTGATCTTGCTGCTGCTTTTCCCCTTCATAACAATATTGGCTCAAGCACAGTTATTACATCAAAACTCATCAAAGACCCAAGGCTGATGAAGAAAGAAGAAAGCACGGGAAAACATAATGCTATTACAGATTTAAATGAGATTTTACCACTTGAGAAGAGTTTAGATTTTGCTAACTCAGAAATAAACCTATCATCTATCCCAGCTAATTCTGCCTCTTCATTTGAAGTCATGCCTGGTGATCAAACTATTCTTACTAATTACATGGACTCCTCTGGCTTCAAAATTTCTTTTGATGATTCACAAGCCCAGGCTCACAACATGGGCTCTGAGACCTATGATTATACAACTCCCAATAAAATGACCATTGCAGGACAACATAAGATCCAGGATAATTTTTCCTTCCCAGCATATGTGTCAAATGTAGTTTCAGAAGTTGAAACTGCAAAACACAGTGAGGAAAAAGTACAGAGATCCCAACAGAGAAGCAAAATCCCACTTTCAATTGAACAAAATTATGAGCCACTTGAGTCTTACGAATCAGTGAATAGTTGTTCAGAAGGGTACAATAGTCACATCTCTCCAGAATCACAGTCTTCTAATTTTAAAACTGTACATCAGACTAGTCAACAAATGTCTACAGTTTTTCCACTGCAAAGCAAAGAAAGCATACATGAGTACATTCAAAATACTGGAAAGATGAGAAACTTCACTGGGACAGAAGACAATTCCAAACATGGAGAAAAGCAAAATTTATGGAAAGAAAATGATAATTCTTTTACTAATAAAAGAAAAATCAGTCCAGTAGATAATTACATTTCTTGGCACCAAGACTACAAAGAGGATGAGAGTCTTGATTATTTGGGGGAAGATTGTGATCAAATGGTAAATCCTGAAGGGTTAGAAATACCAAAATCTTCCACATCTGCCACAGAGGATAAGTATGAACTAGATCATCTAACACTGGAAATACAAAATAATCTTACTACAAGAGTGGAGAGCCATCCACAGAAGTATCGTCAATACTCTTTTGAGTACGATGATAACATTCATACAAGTTTTGCCATTTCTCGGAAACTAATGGAACTGAAACTAGAAAAAACAAATCAGAACTGTGTCAGCATTATGACTGATGCTTTCCAGGAAGCAAAAGACATTCCCCAGGCCAATAAACTGCCACCTGTTATTTCATCTCATGACATTAAAACAGCTCATGATAATGCAAATTGCAACATGGCTAGAGAACATATGTATGTTCAAAGGAGAAATGAAAATGATCTAGTGTCATTAGAGAACATTCAAAGAGGCTACAAAGAAACTCCTCAAATTGATGATAAAGGTCAAGATCATACTCAGTTCTGTAATGCACAGTTGAACAGTGATGTGCACCTGAATATTGATTTCAGAGAACAAAGAGATAATGAGAAAGAAAACCAGGATGAGGCTGAAGTGGAAGACATGGCTTCGTCTAAAGAAAACAACATAGGGGATATATATGGAGAAGAGAAGCAGCATTTTCATCCAAACAAAAGTTTCATCAGTATAGATGAAAGGAGGGAGAATAAAAATTATGGTAGCATAGAAATTCTGAGTTCTGAAGACTTTTCTACTGCATTGAATTTGACATGGGGAAAAAAATATGGATCAACAGAATCTGCATTATTAGGAGGTGAAGATACTGTTACTGCCATAAAAGAAAAAGATATTCAAAGTACTGGCAGGACTGTAGAGCATTTGGTTTCCACAACATTTCCCAAAACTGCAGCTTCTTCAGAGCACGTAGCCTCAGATGCCACCATACAGATAGCTGATGCTACCGTGCCTGCAAGAAGCACAAATCATGAAGATCTCCAGAGATACCAGTTTAAAGAAGCTTGTTCCTCTGAGAGTCCAGATTTGGGTTTGTTAGTAAAACATAGGGTTTCTGACTGTGAAACAGATATGGATAACGATGAATTACACAATTCATTTCATCATTCAGTAAGTGACCACTCAGTTCTTGAAAGTTGCAAAGTGGATAATGAGATTGAAGTAGGATCAAAGCAGAGTAATGATGCTTTTCTATTTCAACGGGATACTTGTAGCCATGGAAATGTACTCTATGAAGAATCTGGGGCCTCATACGAGGCTCTGAAGTCTCGTATCGATTGGGAAGGTCTGTTAGGAAGCAATAATGGGAAGATGGGAGTTTTGAAAAGTATCACAAGGGAGAATGATGATCAGCATTGCTCTGAGGAAAGTAGTTGTTTTTATTCCTCTACAGAAAAAAAAAAAGCAGAGCTCTTCAACCCAGTTTTACTTCCAGATCTACAAGTTAGGATTACTAATATATTTATGCAAGAATTCAGTCCCACTGTTGAATCCCTTGCATTGAAAGATAATTTCTGCAAAGATGTAACTGAAGCTACAAAATCAGAAATAAATGAGAAGCAGGGGAAAGTTCTGGAATTTGAAATTCATTCCCAGTGTTCTGGTGAAAATTCAGATCATCCATGTGAAGGTGAATTTGGTAATATAAGGCAAGAATCAGGACTAGTGAGTAAATCTGAAATCCCTCCTTCTTTTGACTTGAGTCATCATACACACATGAGTCACATGTATGAAAAACAGAACAGCAGGCCTTTGCTTACTGAACTTTCTAATGCCACAGCAGTAAATAATGAAAGCAGATGTTCCTTTACTAAGTCAAAAACCAGTTTTAATGATACTAGCATTAAAAAGGACACAGAATCAGGAATTAGCAAAAGAAAGCCACATACACCTTTTAGGGACCAGAATTTACCAGATAAAGACTTCAGACATCACGAGATTTATGGGAAGAAGAGGAGGCTAGCCAGTCAGGACTCATCTGAATGTTTTTCTTCTCTATCCCAAGGACGAATTAAAACCTTTTCACAGTCAGAAAAGCACATTAGGAGTGTCCTGGATATTCTAAATAGTGAAGCATCTTTATGCAAAAGCAAACGTCTTTCCAGAAGACTTGACAGAGCTGTTCTTCACTTAAAAAAAGCTCATAGAAGAGTTCACACGTCTTTGCAGCTTATAGCTAAAATGGGAGAAAAAAGAAAGGGCCCTTTACCAAAAGCATATGCAATAATATGCAATAATTTCTGGGAAAGTTGTGACCTTCAAGGTTATAGTTCTGTGTCTGAAAGAAGATATTATTCCACTAAGCATTTTTTGTCAAAAAGAAAATATGACAAGCCTGGTGAGAAAAGACCTTTGGGATTTGAAGTTGATAAATCCTTAACTCATGTATCAAAGCACAAGTCTTATAAAACAAGTGAAGAAAGAATCACAAAGTGCCTGTCTAAGAAAAATGTGTCCAGAAGTCACACAACTATTCGCGTGAGAGAATTTTGTGATCAAGAGTACCCTGAATCACAGTTAGCCCTGTGTGCCACATCCCAGAGTACAAGTCAGCCAGCTTATGGCAATAGCAGGATGAGAAATCCTAGATCTTCAGAATTTCAGCCCTTTTCTGGAAAAACTGGGTGTCTCTCTTCCCCAGACTGCCCAGATGAAACACTAACTGAAAAAGGAAATCAAATTGATACAGAGTTTTTGTCTAGCCTTAGTAAATATGAAAAGCTTGAGAACCGCTCAGCACATAGTAATATTAAGGATACAGCAAAAGGAAAGAATTCTGAGGCTAATGAAGTTATAAATAAAAGGAATTTGTTGTCTTTAAGCTGCGTGAAAGAAGACAATGTAAGTTTTAGCATGCACAAAAATTATGGTGTAACTTGTATAGCTCACACAGAGGTGAAAACTGACATAGTTATTTCAGTCTTACAGTCAAATGTGAAGCATTTGTTTAACATTGATGTCTACAAACCAGATAACTTTATTTTATCTGGTTATAAAAGAAACCTGGAAGTAAATTTTCCTACAGAAAAATGGACAGCTCCTAATGAGAGCCCCAAACCAGGCATTATTACAGGAAACTTCCTTGTGGACCCATTAAATCTAACT